ATAATACTGATGATGATCGATGATAGAGGATGATGATAATAGAGGATGATGGTGATAGAGAGGATGTTCAAGATTTGTTAATATCTTTTAGAATTTTATAATATTGTACAGTCATTAAGTATAGGTGTATCTATAAAGATTATAAAATTAACATTTTCATGAAAATTGCAGGTATGTTTACAACTTTGGTAGCACGTTGGCCTGGAAATACACATGACAGCCACATATTCCGTAACTCCAAGATTTATGACAACTTGGAACAAACTCACCAATCCTTGGAAGATGGTGTACTGCTAGGTATTTATTTCTTTTGTTATTTCTTCATTTCTTTCTCTCTTTCTCTCTTTCTCTCTTCCTTCCTTCCTTCCTTCCTTTCTTTCTCTTTTTTTTCTTTCTCTCTTTCTTTCTCTCTTTCTTTATAATTTATTTAATTTGGGTCTTCGTAGTGGAGCTTTGCCCTGTGGGGTTTCCCTGCCCAAGTGGCAAAGTTAATTTAAAATATTTTAAAATATGATCTAGAGTTGTGAAATTAGTAATTAGGTTAAATTGATTCTAGGTGCTACAGTGGCTATGCATGCAGTAGCTTTCTGATGACTCCATATGGGAATCCCACAAATGGACCTCAAGAGGCTTACAACAAAGCTCTACCCAAAACAAGAATGGCCATCGAGCAGACCTTTGGTCGATGGAAACGGAGATTTCATGTGTTACATTCTGAAATAACAATGCATCCGGAAAAGGTGTGTGCAATTTTGGGGGCATGTGCAGTACTACACAACATTGCCGTCATTCAAAATGAGCCAATGGAAGATGGCAATGTTGAATATGATGACTGTCCTGAATTGGATGCCTATATTGGCCCAGAATGTGGCTTCGCTATAAGGACACACATTTGTAATACCTTTTTTGCTTAAAAGTATATTATACATAGGTTGACGATTTTTACCATAAACATCCATTTCTTTCCCCCATTATTATATATTTATAAGCATGTATACATATACAGGTATTTCAAAAAAAAATTAATACTAAATACTGCACACTTAATATACAGCAATTTCCTCGCTATATGGAGCTGAGTATATATTGTTTCTGATGGAATGCACTAAAAAAATATTATTTATTTTACTTTAGACAATATAAGATAGACCCAAAAATGCATTTCAGTCTTGGAATTAATATTAATATACATAAACAATCCTTTTTGAAATAGCTGTATAACATATATCTACATAGTTGTAAAATAAGCATGTACACATGTGGAGAAGATACATTGAATGTTTATTTTTAAAATCAATTGACATTCTAGCATGCAATCAATAATTGATTCAATTATTGGCGATAATTGGTTTAAAAACATTTGGCAATAATAAATCTTTATTATATTTTAATGCTGAAACAAACAGCCATAATAGACAGCAATTAATGCATGTGCTTTAATATGTATAATAATGTAGATCAAATTAGGTCACATTGAATTAAAACATAATAAATCATTGACAAAATAAATACATTTTTGCTAAATATTTTTAGCATTAAATATTTTGCTATTCAATAATATGATACAACTTGATAATAAGTTAAATAAAATATAATTTCATTCTAAAAACTTGATCCAAAAAATGGAAATATTTTGTCCATAAATTCTAGAACATTATGTCATTATGCGAACAAAATAATCCCCATGTGTTTGTAATAAACACAGAAAATGTGCTTCATTGCTATATTAAAAAATAACTTATACTGGTAATACATTGTTATCGTATTCTTCCTGTGTTTTGGAAACACTATTTCTCATGTTTTTCTTCGTGTCGTTGTCTAATTTCCAAAGAATTATGTGGAGTCTTCGGGGAGTGCAATACAGTTATATTCTTCTTGTAATTTCTTTTCCAGATACAAAATTTCCAGCTCTAATTTCCTTTTTTTTAAGTGATTGGTTCACTTGCTTTGCTTTAAGAGGACTGAATTGCTCTCTAAGTACATCACCTTGGGTAATAGACTTTGATTTCTTTGAGGGAGCTACACTAGCAGAATTCATCTTGAATGGTGTTTTTTCTTTTGACTCTTCATGCTCACCAACAAGGGCAGCCTTGAAATTTTCCTTTTCTACATGTAAAATGACTGGAATGGGTTGCTGGGATGTACACACTCCTGGACACACTGCACTTTCTTCTGGCATATTGGCCTCCTTAAATAAAGTTGGCAATACATTACCTCTTTAAGTTTTTAAGCTTAGTTTTTAGTTTTCCTTATTTCACCCCCACAGTTGACCGTTTTATTTATGTCCTGGACTATTACTTATTAGCAAACGTCAAAGAAATGTAGATAATAGAAACGATAGTTCAATTGAGTTTTTTGGCGTTAGAGAAGTCATAACACTTTACGTTGTGTTAAAAAAGCTATGATTAATAATAATGTAAATGGTATATTTTACATTGATTGTGATCAGTCTGGTTAACGCTAAATGACTGGTGTATCTGATGCCGTCGGACATTCTACATATGACAACGGTCGTACTGATTCCAACATTTGGTGCTTTTTGATGCACGATAGAAAAAGTCGTAAAAAGAAAGGGATGAAATGTAACCCCGAGCTGAGAAACATGAGGAAAGACGTGAAAGAAAATAGCAGGGATAAAAAATCAACAAATGTAACTTGGTGCTGCATAGAAAAATATGACATCGCGTGTTTGCATGGTCGAGTGGTCATAGCGTCGGTCTCGCAATCCGTTGGAGCTGATCGTACATTGTGGCCACTAGCTGAGAATGTATTTGTCCTGGTTTATGATTAGCTCAAATTCAGTTTCTCCACCATGCTTGTAAAATAGCCAATTTATTTGCCTCCTTGCCAGTTGGGATCCTTAAAACACTTTATGTTTCTTTGATCATTTCTTCATTTCAGTTTCATTTCAGTGTTCCCAATTAGTTGTATAAACTAAATACATTGACACTTAAATAAATAGAGGATATTACATGGGCGCGCGGAGATTGCGCTCACTCGTGAGAGATCTTTTCAACACTCGAAGATAAATTTCGTATCTCCAAGCGCCCATGTAATATTCTGTTTATTATATAATTATCCATAAAATCAACTTAATAAGCTTTTGATTATTATAAAATAGTTTTTATTCATAAACTAATAGCTTAAATACACATGGTAACGATATTTTCACATGTGAAAATAACATGTTATTTACACATGTGAAAATATCAGTTTTTCGAAAAGCAGAAATATAGGTATTTTATGGATAATTATATGATAAAGTCATTTATTCATTTCAACCGCAAAAAGGTATACGCAAGTAGTAACTAATACTCAATATAATGATTAGCGCATTATTCACGTGATCACAGTCTGTTTAACGCCACGTCATGTCTGAAAGTTGAGTCTCTCTGATTATGCCGCCACAAAACTCAATGAGTTGATCTATCGTTGCTATTTTGCTAGATTTCTTTGAAGTTTGCTAATAAACAATTAGTCCAGGACGTGAATGAAACGGTCCACTGTGGGGGTGAAGCAAGTAAACCTATAATTTATAAAAATATATTAAAATATCAACCTCTTAAAATAGTTTTGCCACTGAATAGGCAACCCCGTCTGAATATAGTTGACATTATATTACTCTGTAATTTTTTTAAAGCTAAGTTATGATTTAAAAACTAGTCGTTACATAATGTAAGTGAAGTGCTGCGGATATATGAAAGACCACATTTTACCAACAGCCGGCACCAAGATACTTATTCTACATATATATATGTGTGTTTCTTTTTTCTTGTTAATATGTTAAACTTATTTGTTTTGTTTTGTTTTGTTTTTCTTAAAACTCCAGAAACCTTTGTAATTACTGTTAACTGTGTAATCTCCCACGATGAGCTTAGCTCTTGGAGAGAACACAGAAAGTCAATATGTTTAAATAAATGGAAAAAAAAAAGATACTTGAAAACATTCATCAACAATACCAGACTACTAAATGTGACAGTGTTTATGTAAATGAGCTCGGGGGGCAGCATAGACGCTCAAAGTAACCCCACACAGTATCCTTCAAACCACAACGAAATGCGACGTAATGCGCGTTTTCTCTTATGAAGAACTCCGCAATCCATATGTATTGCAGCTGAGCCGAGTATTTACCGAGCATCCTTCAAAGACACAGTACGACACGACCGATGCCCGAGCATATTCCGAGCATCCTCCGAAAAATCCGGCTGGACCGACGCCTAGATCCAAAATCAAGATTTTGCTTGCATACAGTCCACAGGGCTCCCAACATGCAATAACTGTTGTGTCAAGATTAGTGTTGCTGCTCCCCTTACGGCTTTGCAGCAATAATAAATTAATTACAATAAAATATTAGATAATAAATAATTTACAATACTCAGACAAGGACAACAAGGACATAAGCTATAAGAAATTTAAACCATATAAATCAAACTGCCGCATGGCATATATTTGCACTACTGAGATTCTTTGTTCATCACAATTGTTATCAACCTAGAGAGGTTAATTGATCACCAACAACCTTGCTCAAGTCGTTGAAAGGGGAACAACTAATGACATCCTTGCTACAGAAACCTGCGAGACGGAAAATTATTTGTTTGCAAAATTTATCTAATGATCGGGGATAGAGATCAGAGGCTGCTCGTTCAAAGCCTGTTAGTCCCAATCAATTTTCCTAGTAAGTTGGCGATTGCAAATTGACGTAAGTTTATGGGATAGATATCAAAAATGAGGGCGCATCGAATAAACTGACACTATATGATTATTTATGAATCCTTTTTCTTTCTTAATTCAATTTTATTCAACGGCTCATATTTTTTTCTGAAATGATGTCATGTCATTGCCGTCTTGGAACAAATTTCTATTTAGAATTTTTGCACACATTTCAAAATCTAGACTGAATACAACCCTATATTGCTTACAAAACCGATCAGTATTTGATCCGTTCATCGACATAACTTCAAACACAGTTTAAACAGTCAGAGGCCGTTAGCCCAAATTAGTTTTTTCGTACGTGAACTGCTCTTTTATTTTCACCAACGCATGAACAATTTCAATCATAGTTAAAATTTAACACACTTATAGCCCGTTAATTATTCAAAAATACTAACTTTAATTAACCAATTAGACAGACGAAAATGGTTCTACAACTTTTRGCTTCAACTTAGAGTTTGTTTTCAGGCAAACTGAGAGTCTTGTTTATAGCCTTGCTYGTTAGTGATGTCCAAGCTTTGATGGTGCAGCTTCACAGTACCTGGCCACTGCTGATTCGTACTGTTCATAAAACTTGCCTGGTTCTGCTTCCTTTAGTATCTCAATGCGATGGTCTCCAAAATGAAATTTTGGCATATTAACTGCATTGGCTGGCTTTCTGGACCTAAAGACATTATACAATTAAAMGATGAGTGTTTGCAAACAACGAAAATCTTAATAAAAATAAATAAATAATTTTAAGTGATGCTACTAATTGCGCGGGATGATAGTCAAAAGTCATCTCTATAAACTTTGCATGAATATGTTGGTATTCAGACAAGCAATGTCATCTTATGTAGTCTCTTATGTGTCAGTAAATCTAAACTTTTTGAGTTCACTTTTTACCAAACAACATGCCCTACCTGTAAGTAGTTCGCAGATGGCTCGTCAAATGGTTACCATCAGTGCATTTCAGGGCCATCAAGGACTGCCCACACAGGACTCCGTCACGTGGATAAAGCATCTCTACGCATGGTTCCCATCCGGCTGTTTTCTTCTGCATCACGGGACCATTGGCAGGGAAGTTGGCACCGATGACTTTAACCTTGAAAATAAAGCTATCTCCCTGTATGCTTAAATTGAAGAGAGAAAAAGAAATTTATTCAGATTTTCTATACTTTAATTGAGGGGCTACTTGTGTTGGTCAAGTAATTATCGAAAGGGAAGTTATTGCTATATGACACTGTAAATATTGCTCATTACCAAATCGTAAAAAGAGGACGCCCTCTACTCTACCTTGTGTCCTGGTGAATGGTAAGATAGCCTCCATCCTCGTAGATTTGGGTTCTTTCCCAAGTGAATCCTTCAGGTAAAGAATCCTTGAAGTAATCTGGAATCCCTGAGRCATGCTTGATGAAGGTTTTRCTTCCATACATGCAACAAGGTGCCAAAATATCGTACGCAAATGGTAAGGGACCTCCTTCAGTGATTCTTATCTTTTCCACCTGGGTACCTCTAAATATGAAAATAAATAAAAACCCATGAATTTGTTTAATGGCTTTTATCTGTACCCTATATTTCGAACTCACTTGAAGTTAGAATACACTTTAGAACTAACAAGAGACTGCTGTCATGTTAAAGGCGTGTTCCGGAAACATACGACATCCAGACGGAATTCACCAAACATATTTAGTACTCGTTTTTATGATGGTGTCGGGATGGGGTTCAACAGCTAACTGACAATTGGTCTAACAATTAGTAGTTGATTTACAATCTGGTACCCACTAACCACACCCTTTTTTGCATCTTTAACTTAGTCAGATATAACGACAAACAGAAGACGCAACATTTGTTCATACTACTTTCTTCGAATAGATAATCAAAAGCGATAAACAASAATTGAACATACGCAGAGCCCGCAATTTGTAGTTTAAAAAATGAAACAATTGCGCACTTACTCAAATGGCTTGCCTTCTCCTTCTCCTACACACTTGAAGTGGTGACCATTTACTGTCCCTTCCATGGTCATCTTGATGCACATATCCTTCTTAACCAATGAAGACTGATCGAGAATATTAACGCAGTTGAGTATATTAGTAACATATATATGCATTATCAAAGCACCATACGTAAGCATAGAAGAAAAGAGGGAAACAACATACCATTGTGAGCAAGTATCTTGCGCAGATTTTGTCTTGTAAATGCTAACTGTTCTTCCTGCGGGATCCTGGTGAAAGTGGTAAAGAGAAAGCGCTCTTCTTTATTTATAGGGACATATTACGTAATAAAGCAGTGACAAAATGGTTGGCACATCAACATCACAATTGCAATTTTTATGCACATTGCGTCCACCTGCCGTTTCTTTGTCTTTGTGGGCAAGTGGGCGGGCACAGTTTTAGTTACTTGATTTTCAGATAGCCTGGTGTTGTTGATAATCTTGTTTTTTAGTAATGTTCAAGCTTCGGTGGAGTACATCACAGGAAGCCTAAGCATTTCACACTTACTTAGTTCGAAACAAAAACGTCTTGTCCCTGCACTCATGGGAAAAGCTAATAAATAAATAAAAGATTAGTGTGGAAGTACGAAAGAAGAAAATACGAGATATGAAATTAAAGTACATACCAATGTAAGATTGAATTTTTCACTTAATTACTTGTAAGTAACACCTTACCACATCCAGATAAATTTGCATTAGGGACAGACCATTAGATAGTTGATGGGGGTTGCGTAAATCCAAAAAAATATTGAGCAAGCACTTAAACCTCAAAAAACATATCGTGCAACCTCTTCTGCTAAAAGAAAAATATCTAGCTGTACGCAAAAAATAACGTGCAAGGGTTGAGCCAAAAAAATAATTATCATGCAACCAAAATTCCTGCAAACCCCCCATCAATTATCTAATGGTCCATCCCTTACAAGTTCACACAGCTGGTTGGCAAGTGGGCCATGTTTGATTTGTACAGTACTTTCTGGAAGGGCAGACTGATCCAAAGGGTTACGGGTTCTCAATGCTCTATTATGACAAACGACGTCTGTTTTACAATTTTTAGAACACTAATGATGAAATGATGGAACAACATGTCAAGTGTGTAGTAAAAGCAAAATGTCATTGATAACGCTTCAGAAAATTAATTAAAATAGCTAATTGAAAGACAGCAACCACAGCCCCCTTTGTGGATGAAAATCTTTATGTATAAGCGATCGGTTTGTCAGCGCATTGTATAAAAATGGGAAACGTTGCAATAATCGCACTGTAAACATTTAACTATATATCTACAAGTGAGAATGATTAATGGTGATATTGAGTATTAAGGAACGAGTTGTTTATCACACATATAATTTTCTGCGGTTGAAGAGACACGCCATAATATAACATGCTTTTCCATACTGTACCATGCAAGTAAAATTTTATTGATTTTTTAAAACTATTTTCTTTTTACTCAGCTCACGGTTCCATTTCATCTCTATCTTTTAAACGACGTTTTCTTTTTGCGCATCAAAAGACACCACATGTTAAACCAGTACGACCTTTGTCATATCTAGAACGCCGCCACAAAACTCAATGAGTTGACCTATCGTTGCTATTTTGCTAGATTTCTTTGGAGTTTGGTAATTAAAAAATAACACTAGCATGTGAATGATATACAGACCAAGATGCACAATGAGCCACCCTGCCTAAATAAAGTTGGCATTACATTACTCTTTAAGTTTTTAAGCTTAGTTTTTAGTTTCCCTTACTTCAACCCCACAGTTAACCGTTTCATATGTCCTGGACTATTACTTATAAGCAAACTTCAAAGAAATGTAGCTAATAGAAACGATAGTTCACTCGAGTTTGTGGCGTTATAGTAATCATAATAATAAGATAATAATAAGATACGTGTTCTACAGTTGACTGGTTCAATTTTGGAATGTGCTGGGATTTTAAAAAGGCTATGATTACTAATGATGCAAATGGTATATTTTACATTGATAGTGATCAGTCTGGTTAACGCTAGATCACGTCTCATAATTGGATGACTGGACGTCCTAAATATGACAACGGTCGTACTGATTCCAACATTTGGTGCTTTTTGATGCGCGATAGAGAAAGTCGTAAAAAGAAAGGGATTAAATGTAACCCCGAGCTGAGAAACGTGGAAAAACGTGAAAAAAAATAGCAGGGATAAAAAATCAACAAATTATGTAACTTGGTGCTGCATAGAAAAATATGACATCGCGTGTTTGCATGGTCGAGTGGTCATAGCGTCGGTCTCGCAATCTGTTGGTGCTAATCGTACATTGTGGTCACTAGCTGAGAATGTATTTGTCATGGTTTATGATTAGCTCAAATTCAGTTTCTCCACCATGCTTGTAAAATAGCCAATTTGTTTGCCTCCCTGCCAGTTGGGATCCTTAAAATATGGCGCGCGGAATGGTTCAAAATTGTCATTTCGATGTAATTGAATATTTGTTGTCAATTGCGTTACTTCGCTTGAATGTGTACACTTATCAATGCATTGCATTACACAAGCACGTTCCATATGTTTTTTTTTTGTTGTCAATCACTGCTTATAAAAATAGTCAATCACCAAAACTCGGTCAATTCCAAAAACTCTGTCAATTACAAAAAACTCGGTCAATCACCAAAACTCGGTCAATTCAGCAAAAAACTCGGTCAATTCAGCAAAAAACTCGGTCAATTACAAAAACTCGGTCAATTCAGCAAGGTTCAAATTCAGGTTAATTCATAAACTAATAGCTTAAATACACATGGTAACGAAAAGGAGAAATATAGGTATTTTATGGATATTTATTTCAACCGCAAAAATACGCAAGTAGTAACTAATACTCAATATGATGATAAGTGATTATTCTCGTGATCACAGTCTGTTTAACGCCACGTCGTGTCTGAAAGTTGAGTCTCTCTGACTATGCCGCCACACAACTCAATGAGTTGACCTATCGTTGCTATTTTGCTAGATTTCTTTGAAGTTTACTAATAAATAATTTACAATACTCAGACAAGGACAACAAGAACATAAACTATAAGAAATTTAAACCATATGAATCAAACTGCCGCATGGCATATATT